AAATATTTTTTTCTCGATATATTGTGTCACACTAGAAATGCTCTAAGTACATGTACATTCTCTAAGACTTTTAATGGCATCTTAAAATTTGAGATTTCTTAAAATTTTAGAAATATTAAGTATATAGATGAAATTTAGGGTAGGATTTTGTAAAGTGTTAATACCACTAATTGGACAAAACCTAAATTTTAGCCATGTTTTGTAAAAAACATCTTTTTTAGCCATTTTAGTATGCGAAAATACAAAATTACCCCCAACCCAATTAATTCCACATTTCACTTTCACTTCCCCAAAATTCACTTTCACTTTCACCAAAAAAAATCACTTCCCCCCAAACTTACTTTCAGCAAAAAAGATTGAAAAAAAAAAAAATTCACTTCTCGACATCTTCATCCCGTGGCGACCTCACCGCTCGACCTCCGCACGACCTCGCCGGCTCGACCTCCGCACGACCTCCGACCTCATTTTGTGGCCACCTCTCCGGCTCCACGACCTCTGACTTCGTCCCGTGGCGACCTCACCGGCTCCGAAGAGATCCCGCAAATCCTCCGCAGCTTCTCGCCGGCTCCGAGGAGATCCCGCCAATCCTCCGCAGCTTCTTGTCGGCTCTAAGGAGATCCCGCCATATCTTATCTGGCCCCTGAAATCAGGTATTTAGGGTTCTTGTCCCTTAGTTTTTTTTGTTCAAATTAGGGTTCTTGAAATCATGTATTTAGGTGGAAAATGAGCACGGCTTAGAATGTGTTTTGCTTGAAATCATGTATTTAGGTATTGGCTTGTTCAAATTAGGGTTCCTGTTGCAATTAGAATGTGTTTTGCTGAATAATTAATTTTGGTTCCATCCAATTGAATCACTTCAACTTCATTAGGACCAACAAATCTCCCTTCTCCTTCAAAAAAATTCTCTGTAATTTTATTACTATTTATTACATTTTTTTGTTTTGTATTTATACTGAACTCTATATTCGAGCACGCATTTTCGCCTGCAGGTACAGATTTGAGATTTTTCAACGAGCTTGAAGATGACGAAGCAAAAGTACATCGTGCAGGTTGAACCTTCGAAGCCCGCCAGGGATGGGAAGCCGTCGATCGGACCTGTTTATCGGAGTATCTTTGCCAAGGATGGTTTTCCGGAGCCGACGCCGGGGCTCGACAGCTGTTGGGACATTTTCCGGTCTGATTCTCTCTGCTTTTATCTCACTTGTCCTGTTTCTGTTGGGGAGATTTAGGAGTTTGTTTTATGCTAAGTGGTTGCATTATTTTGTTCCGCAAGTTCTGTGTGGCATTGGGGCCTGAGATCCTCACGGTTGATGTTTGATTGATTCGATCCTGTTTCTATATATGTATGTGCGTATGTATGTATGTATGTATGCAATTTCGTATATGTACTTGATTGTTTTCCTTTCTTGTTGTTGAAACTTGAAAAGTTATGACGGGTGATGGTGATGTCAACCTTCGTTTTTGTTTTGATTGCTCGTGCTTTCTCAAGCTGATTTGACTGTGATTTCTGAGGGTTGAAGTAGTTTTTGTGTTTGTACAACCCAATCTGATTTTTTATTCACTTTTTTTGGCAAGTTTGGTGGAGCTAAATATGGTTATTTGTGGCCTTTCTTACAATTCTATGTTCTTTTTTCCTCTTGGAATATGATATTTGATATACTGTATGTGTGCTCACAGTAGTCTCTCTTATATTCTTATTGGTTAGTATATGCATGTTTACCTCAAAGCTCACAGTAGTCTCTCTTATATTCTTATTGGTTATAATACTCATCCTGTTTTTCATAAAACTTTATTTTGTTAGGGGATATTGGTGAATGGCAACCGGATGGGAGCTTGAAGATTGTGGACCGTAAGAAAAACATCTTCAAACTCTCGCAAGGAGAGTACGTTGCTGTGGAGAATTTAGAGAATATCTACGGCCTAGTACCTGACATTAACTCGGTATTGAGTTGGCCATATTGTGTGTTAATGAATCTATTTTTACATCAAGCACATAACAACATGCAGAAAAATGAAAATGGTCATTTTGTCTACATTTTCAAACGAAATTGCTCTAGAGAAGTTTTAACATGATTGTGAGTGTGTATGTCCATAGAAAACCAATTTTGTTATCTTTGTTTACATATTAACAAGTAACAATGCAGTTCACTCTTCCCTCTCGATATAAATGTCATTCCGAGGGATCTTAGACTTGGAGTATTTATCCAGTGAGAGTTTAACTTCTTGTGGTGGTAAATCTGCTGTTGTATGATTCTCACTGTGCTTTTAATTCTTGCAGCTATGGGTATATGGGAACAACTTTGAGTCTTGCCTTGTTGTTGTAATTAATCGAAACCAGCAAGCAGTTGAGAGATGGGCTCAACAGAATGATCTGTCCGGGGACTTCAATGCCCTATGCGAAAATCCCAAAGTAAAAAAGTACTTTCTTGGAGAACTATCGAGGGTTGGATAATATTTTGTATAATAGAATATTTTGTATATTTTGTATACAAGAAAAGGATAAGCAAGAATAATAGAAATATCAATTGTTATCAGTTAGAGTTTCATGCTCTTTGAATAAATATACAATGGTTTTAATACACAAATACTGTATTTTAAAAACATTATAAATAACATATTCTTATTCAATAAATCTAATGTAATTGATTAGTCTAACTGTTAGTGCATATCATTACAAATTGTGTTTAGTCCTTGGGAAAAATGAGTGGGAAATCTTGTAAATGTTACAGCCACAGACTGGAAAGTGGAGAAACAAAAACGAAACAAACAAATTTGTTGCACATCCTCAATCACAAAGACAAAAACACCAAGTCACAAATTTCGAAGCTTTCATGTATAAGTGAACTACTTCACGACCAAACTTTCGAATATTTTGACGTAAGTGGTACGTGCAAATAACATGAGTTGCTTCGTTGTTCAATGAATGCATCTTCATTAGGAGTATCACTTTTGGAAAAGGTTAATTGCTGGCACATTATGAATATTAACATTCTTCCTCCGACCGGTGTCCTTATTTTCATTATCCTGCTCGAGTTGCCCATTCTCGTCAATATTTTCGTGTCCATTCTCGTGGACGTTCGCTTCTCCATTGAAATCATCATAATCCCGACCATCATTGATGTCCTCAATTTCATTATCATGCTCGACTTGCTCATTCTCGTCCTCATTTCCGCTTTCAGTCTCGTGGACGTTCGCTTCTTCATTCAAATTATCATAATATCGACCATCATTCTCACCATCAAATGTACTATCTTTACCCCAATCAACATGGTTTGAAAAATCACTTTCAACAGCTCGAGAAGCGGAATGTTGCACTATATTGTTACCAAAACCAACATTTGGGTTGCTTGAAATCACACAGATTTCTGGGACAAGAATTCAATGACAAACAATTTCAAAACAGATTTCTCGGGCAAGAAATTGGATTTCTGGTCCAGAAATTGGATTTCTGGTCCAAAAATCGATTTCTTGGCCAGAAATCACATTTCTAACCCAGAAATCTATTTCTGGACCAGAAATCGATTTCTTGTCAAGAAATCGATTCCTTGTCCCAGAAATCGATTTCCGGTCCATAAATCACATTTATGGAACTAGAAACGAGATAATCTAGAAAAAAGATTTCTGGGAACCAGAAATCACATTGCCGACCCAGAAATCACATTTGTGACACAGAAATCGATTTCTGTGTCACAAATGTGATTTCTGGGCCAGAAATCGATTTATGGGTCAGAAATCACATTTCAAGGCCAGAAATGTGATTTCAGGGCCAGAAATTAATTTCTTGTCAAGAAATCGATTTCTGGTTTGTTCACATTTCTGGCCCAGAAATCACATTTCTGGCCCAGAAATTAAATTTTTTACCCAGAAATTGATTTCTGGATCGAAAATGTGATTTCTAGGCTAGAAATTAATTTCTGGACTAGAAACGACTTGTCCCAGAAATCGATTTCTACAATATTTTTGGGCCAAAAATCACATTTCTGAAACGAGACGATCCAGAAATCGATTTCTAGGTCGTAAATGTGATTTCTGGGTCAGAAATGTGATTTTTGGGTCAGAAATCGATTTTTGGGAAAGAAACGAGACTATCCAGAAATTGATTGTCCAGATTCGATTTCTGGACCCAGAAATCAATTTCTGGGCCCAGAAATCATTCAAGGTTCCAAGAAATCTATTCTACAATATTTTTTTTTTTGCCATATTCATTTATTAATTTTAATAGTATATATATGTGGCTCATTAAATAAAAAAAATATAACAATACCTTTACACTAGTATTCCCGAGATATCACCGGAATGTTGTCGGAATGAATATAGAGAGAATGAATTTTTTTGTTTTTTGTTAAGAGAATTAATTTTTTTTAAGAGAGAAGAGAGATGAAGGTAATGAAGGAGAGAAGAGAGATAAACCTTTTTTTTAAAAAAAAAATTATAGTAAGGGTATTTAAGACTTTTCAAGTGCCAAAATGGCTAAAAAAGATGTTTTTTTTCAAACTATGGCTAAATTTTGTGTTTATCATTTCTACATGGCTAAAAAAAAAATCTCTGTTTTGTAAATGCATTTCATCTTTGAATCTTAGTAAATTTTAAAAAGTTTAAATAAATATTAATAATAAATAAATTCAATATCTCATGATTTATTTCAACTGTAGAAACGAATATCTCCAGACTTTAAATATCAAATGAATGCTTCAGATTTTTTAATATTTTTGAAAAGTTAAAATTGGAGAGACAATTTTTTTTTTAGAATCTAAAAAATCTTTAGTCAATGAATTCAGATTATGTATTCACATTATGTTTGCCAACTTGAAAAAGAAAAATCTCAAATGAATGCTTTAGATTTTTTTATAGTATTGTAAAGTTAAGTTTAGATATGTTTGTCAACTTGAAAAAAAAAAAAAATGTAAAATGAATGCTTTAGATTTTTTTATAGTTTTGTAAAGTTAAAATTAGATAGACAGAATTTTTAGAATTTCAAAAAATCTTTGCAATCTTCAATATAGTGGTCATGTTT